GTGAAGAAAATTTAGAACTGTTAAAATGTTGATCCAATTTCCTATAAAAATCCTGAAAAAAAAAAAAATCTAGTGCTTGGGGCAAAAGTAGCGACCGGAGTTCACTAATTTTGTGTAGAAGTCTCTAGTTCTACACGTGGGAAGCAAGAAAAGCCAGCTGTAGAAGTCTTAGGCAAAGAAAAGTTACCGAATGTCTAGTTGTTGGGCAGCTGTCTAAGTTGGTCAAGAAGTAGCGGTGGAAAAGTCAAAAATATTGTGCTTGAAGTCGGTGAAATTCTTCTATATAAGTGGACGTCTAATTAGTATCAGAAAAACAAGGAAAACCTCTCCTCCTTCGATTGTATTACCAACTAATAAAAGCCTTTTATTTTTGTTCCCTTGTGCTTCATTGCATCCACTCTCATATAGCCTTTGTTCCTTGTTATATTTCACACACACTTGCACACACGCTTCCGCAAATAACCAATAGTGGTATCAGAGCCACGTCTTTGGTTGGTATCGAACTCTGAGAAGAAAATTTGAGAATTCTAAAATGAAAGTAAATAAGACCGTTTAAAAATACTGTAGAAAATTAAAAGAACTAGTTAATCAAATAAGAGCCTATGGAGATGAAATCACTGATCAAAGGGTAATAGAAAAAATACTAGTGTCACTTACTAGAAAGTACAATCCTATTGTGACAACTATAGAAGGATCTAAAGATTTTACGACCCTGTCAATAAGTGAATTGATTGGCTGTCTAAAAGCACATGAGAAAAGAATGATGGCACAAGATGAAGATTAAGTTGAAAGTGCGTTTCGGTCTAAAATGAACATGCGGTCTCATCAATCTAAAAATGGTGGAAGGGGCTCATGGAAAAATAGAAGAGGAGGAGAAACTACTCAAAAGGAAAAATATCCACCTTGTGGAATTTGCAAGAACACTAATCATTTGGAGAAAGATTGCTGGTTTAAAAATAAACCACAATGCTGCTTTTGTAAAAGATATGGCCACGTAGAAAAGTATTGTCGCTCGAAAACAAATAATTGAGCCAATTATGATGAAGAAAGAGAAAGTGAAGACAACACATTCTACGTAGGCCAAGCGGCAAATGACAAGCAAAATGATATGTGGTACATTGATAGTGGGTGTAGCAATCATATGACGGGGGATGAATCTATATTCACCGATATTGATACGTCGGTGAAATCCCAAGTGAAATTGGGCAACGGTGCATCAGTCGATGTCAAAGGAAAGGGCACTATTGCTATTGAAACAAATAAAGGCCCAAAATATAAATGTATATCTAGTCCCCAGTCTTGCACAAAATCTCTTGAGCGTGGGCCAAATGATACAAAGTGGATATTCTCTAAACTTTAGAGGAGATGCACGCATTATCTATGATAAATACAAAAATATCATTGCCTCTGTTAAAATGGAGAATAGGAATGTTCCTATTCGATGGAAATATATCAGAGATATAGCCATGAAAGCTCAACTTGATGATTCATGGCTATGGCATCGGAGATTTGGCTACTTCAACTTTGCTGGGTTAAAAGTTCTCCATCAGAAAAATATTATAAGAGATTTTCCGACTATTTCAGAAATTTCAGATGTTTGTGAAGGCTATCTGCTTGTAAAACAACAAAGACAGTCCTTCCCATCTGGTGTATGGAGAGCTAAGAAGCCATTGGAGCTAGTGCATACGGATGTGTGTGGTCCAATGTGGACCCCCACACCCAGTCAGAATAAATATTTCATCCTATTCATCGATGACTATACAAGAATGACTTGGCTCTACTTTCTTCGAGAAATATCGAAGGTATTCTCTATTTTCAGAAAATTCAAGGACCACATTGAGAATCAAAGTGGCCGCAGAATCAAAGTACTGAGGAGTGACAGAGGCATGGAATACAACTCCAGGGAGTTTAATAAATTCTATGAAGACAAAGGAGTTCATCATCAACTAACTGTTGGCTTCGCCTCAGAGTAAAATGGAGTAGTAGAAAGAAAAAATAGAACCGTCATGGAGATAGTAAGGTCTATGCTAAAGGAGAAAGGCATTCCCAATTTGTTCTGAGCAAAAGCAGTCTATATGGCTGTGTACCTCTTAAACATGTGTTCAACTAGAGCAGTTCAAAATAAAACTCCAATTGAAGCATGGAGCGGACGAAAGCCTTCAGTGAAGCATCTCAAGGTGTTCGGCTGTATATGCTACGTCCACATTCCTACTCAAAAAAGAAGCAAGCTTGATGAGAAGACCGAAAAAGGAATCTTTCTCGGCTATAGCGACCAATCAAAATGCTATCGGGTTTACAACCTAAAAACTAAGAAGGTGATGATTAGTCGAGACATCGAGTTTGACGAAAATACTACTTGGAACTGGGAGGAATAAAAGATCGAGAAGAGGTATGTCACCTTACCAGACATACCGTCAACACGTGAAGAGTCAACCTCACAAAAAGAAGGTGAAGTGCCGAATACCACCACTCACGATGTAACACCACCATCCTCTCCAAGAGTGATGCAGGAAGAATCTACTCCAGAATCTCCTATTCTAAGATAAAATCTCTTAGAAAAGTCTATGAAACATGCAACTTTGCAGCTGTAGAACTCGAGAACTATGAAGAGGCTGCCAAACAAGAAGTTTGGATTAAGGCCATGGAGGAAGAAATCAAGATGATAGAGAAGAATGAAACATGGGAGCTCATCGACTTCCCTAAAGACAAAGAGATCATTGGCGTCAAGCAGGTTTACAAGACAAAGCTCAATGCAGGTGGATCAATCCATAAGCATATAGCAAGGCTCATGGCGAAAGGATAATTGCAAAATAATTGTGACGCCGCTCGTGACAAATGAGAAACTATTAAAGGAAGATGGAGCATAAAAAGCCGACGCCTCCCTCTACAGAATTATGATTGGTAGTCTATTATATCTCACTGCTACACGACTGGACATCATGTACGCGACAAGTCTACTATCACGATTCATGTAGAGTCCGAGTCAAATTCACTTTGGAGCTGCCAAGAGAATTTTAAGATACTTATGAGGAACGACAGATTATGGCATTTGGTATCGGCCAAATGCAACGGCTAAGCTTATTGGCTACACCGACAGTGACCGGGCAAGATCAGCTGACGATAGGATAAGCACCATTGGCTATGCATTCACACTGGGCTCCGAAATATTCTCTTGGGCATCTAAAAAACAAGACTCAATGGCACAATCTACTGTTGAAGCTGAATACATCGCGGCTTCTACGACCACTAGTCAAGCAATATGGCTTCGAAGAATTCTAGAAGACATTGGAGAAGCATAGACAGAATCAACTCCGATATTTTGCGACAACAAGTCCGCGATCGCAATATCAAAAAATCCTGTCTTCAACCAAACATATAGAGATCAAATATCACTTCATCCATGGAGTGCAAAATAATGGAGAAATCGAGCTCAAATATCGCAAGATCGAAGATCAAGTCGCGGACATATTCACTAAAGCACTACTGCCAGCCAAGTTCGAGATGTTACCAAGGATGCTTGGAGTATCGCGAAATTGGATCAAGGAGGAGTGTTAAAATGTTGATCCAATTTCCTAGAAAAAACCTGAAAAAAAAAATCTAGTGCTTGGGCGGCAAAAGTAGTGACCGGAGTTCACTAATTTTGTGTTGATGTCTCTAGTTCTACACGTGGGAAGCAAGAAAAGCCAACTGTAGGAGTCTTAGGCAAAGAAAAGTTACCGAATGTCTAGTTGTTGGGCAGCTGTCTCAGTTGGTCAAGAAGTAGCGGTGGAAAAGTAAAAAATGTTGTGCTTGAAGTCGGTGAAATTCTTCTATATATATAGGGCTTAGTGGACGTCTAACTAGTATCAGAAAAACAAGGAAAACCTCTCCTTCAATTGTATTACCAACTAATAAAAGCCTTTTATTTTTGTTCCCTTGTGCTTCATTGCATCCACTCTCATATGGCCTTTGTTCCTTGTTATATTTCACACACACTTGCACACACGCTTTCGCAAATAACCAATAAGAACATTTTTTATGTACATACCCTCTTATTGCAGCAATAATATCAAAAAGTCGACCTTCCATTGACACAGTCCTTCTCTCAGTGAACACCAAATTCTATTCGCAACGAGCGTAAACTCAGCTCACTAACCACGGTCTCTTCTTTGGCTTTTACTGGATGTTTTTTGTTCAGGTTTTGCAAACAAACATTTCCCCAATCTTTACTATACCTAGCATTATCTTAGAATATTCACATAATAGTCGAAATTGAGACGGCCAACAAGGAAAAGTAAACATACTTTTTCGGCGACTACAAGTTCAGTATATACCGATTCCAGGTTCTGATGATGCACATGGATTCTTTCAACCCAGTGGAAAGATTGTTTCAATTCCTCTACCAAGATATGCTTGTGTAAAAGATTTGCCATGCTAATAGATAAAATCAACTACTACAATACGAAAGGACATATCACGAGGACATGTCCTTTGCAAGTGATGTACACTGCTTAAGAGTTAATAGGAAAAATCTCTCTCTCTCTCTCTCTCTCTAAGAAAAAGCCTACCCAAAATCAAAGTCTTAGCATGCATTTCCAGCACACAAACTCATTTATCCTAAGTAGTTGATGGACCTAAACAAGTAAATATTAATGCTTATGCATGTATGTGATCGATAAGATCAGATATCATGAATATATGCTTCCCTGCTTGAATTGTTTCTGTTTGTCAGTTTCAATCAGCTGAAAAGAAGGAAGTAGAATCCGTGAATGCTACATTTGCCCAATATTCAAAACCTAATGAAGTACTCAGCAAAATAGTGTTTCAATCCTAATCATTCGCATGTATATAAATCCTAATTAAGATCAGATGCATGCGGAGGATCATATATATATCTTCTACCTATCAGATGCACTATCATATACCACGACCATGTTAATTAACTTTTATATACCACCAATGAAAATCACGACTCCGGACATATGGTGTATGATGATTCAAAGTGATAGGCAGGCAAAATGTACGCGAAAGACAACTCAGCACAGCAACGTCACTCGTTTCTCAATAGAGTACACCAAGAATGTGCAATAATTAATTTATTACATTCACATATTCTAATAAAGCACCGTCGCCAACATTACCAATTCCTGGCCAAAATTGCCTGGAAGAAGGACTTGAAGGATATGAAGACATACTTAAGATTCATGTCATCCAGAGGAAAGGTTCACAAAACTAAGATTCCTGTCCAATCTGAGAACAATCAAGTTGTTAACTTCATCAATTTTTGTTGCAGCTCAGACATATTGCTATTTCCTCCATTGGTTACCTGCACAAATAACCCCAATATAGCATAGCAGTTTCATCAATTAGTGGTTAAAAAGAAAATCCAAATGACACCCTAAAAAGATTGGCATTATATGCATTAGCAAAATCTTTGAGGGATTATTCTCGGGGCTCACAGGTACCTCGGCTTTGATGGAGTGAAGAATCCTGTCGCTCACTTGCATCGAATTGCAGCTGATCACATTTACTCCTTCTTCGGACAATGCTTTAAATGCTCTAGATAGAGGGAGCCCTTGTTGCGAGGCGGTGTTTATGAGAATTTCGACTCCTGCCATGCAAGGCTGGACCATCACAGTGTCATCCCGAGAGCAAGCATTTCTTGAACATTCAGGTGCATCTGTAGGAGCACCCGAATCAGACAGTCCCTTCAGCTCATCTCTCTTGTCACTTAGCGCTTGGATCTTGTTCTGCATATGCCTTATGAAGTTGACTGTCTCATGAATGTGATCAGAAATAGATCTCTTTCCCTGCAAGAAGTGTTATATCCCATTAAAAGGCAGTATAATTCCACACAAAAGCCAGCAGAGATTGCTGTATTGCACAAACTTTAACAAAAGAATGCGTAAAAATGAGTACAGGAGAATTAACCTTAAGAAATTCAATTGGGAGTTGTTTCCTTAGAGATCCATAAAGGGTAGCCATTTCTTGCCTCCTTTGCCTCTCAATATCTCTGTGTATGACTTTCTTGTTCTTGTTGGTGTTGACATTAGGCTTTACGCCAGCCATGGATTTATCGAACGCAGAAGACATTTTATTACCCTGTCGGTCATGATCATCGAGCGTCTCGCCCATGAAGAAGTTCCCATCTGGAGGAGAAGAAAGTTGGCATAGGATATCATCATAGTCATCAACTTGGTGATGTTGTTGGTGGGAATCAAAAGAAGGGCATTGGAAGAACTCATCAGTTTGGTCAAATGGGATCGTAGTAGTAAAATAACTCATGTTTGGGAAGCTCCTCTCCCTCTCTCTCTCTCTCTCGTGAGATGTTCTCTCTTTTATAATTGGGATGCTGCGGATATGTTTATTTTGAGCATGATGAGATCTTTGATGGGCCTGAGGCTCCAAGATTTTGTGCTTTTTGATAGACAGATGTGACTCAAGAAATAACGTCAGTGTTTGCTGCTTATTAAAATAAAGGTTTAATATTTTTCTTTTGGAACTGTACATTTGGGGGGCTGGTCGAAACCCACATCATATTCACATGTAGAAAATCAAAATATGTCATTTTATGCTGAAATAGACTTGGGGCAGATTCAAATTTTGGATTTCACACATTTCTTTTGGTCCCACTAAAGAAATGAGAGTCAATAAATATATCTGCTTCTTGATTTATGGTTCTCACATTAGTTCTAGATATCGTTGCACTCTTTTCTGCTTCAAACTGCAAATCCTCATAACAAAGTACAATCTTCTTTTGCTTTTTGGGTTGCTGAATAAGAATCAAAATATGAAATCAGCCGCTTGCGGACACGTTTCTGACAAAAATGGGAAAGTATTCTAATTATTAAGTACATGTTTCTTTCTGACCATCGGATGGATGGGCAAAACAAGTTCAAATCACAGGGGTATCACACCTTTTATTTGGAGAATCACTATCACCCCCATTTTGAGTACCTTGTGATGACCAGCATATAGTGGGCTGGAAAGTTATATGTACGGATATCAAGAGGAGAGAAGAAAACAAAAGGTATCAAAAGTTTCTCTTAGACAGTGAGAAAAATGGCTAAACTTGGAGTGATATGTTCTCGTCCAAGAATCGAGAATCGAAAACTAGATCGGTGGCCCTTGGAACTAGATTGGATTGACTAGTTCGATCCGATTCCTGGAGGTGGCATGTTCAATTATTTTTTTATTGTCCTTAATATTCAAGACAAAAATATAATAAATGAGTTACGTGTAACATTATAGGTTTTACAAAGATTTTTTCAATTTGTGGCAAAATTTGATTGGAATAAGCAATTACTGTTATGTGTTTTGATTTGTTCTTGTCATCTTACTCACGTATATAAGTAAACATATTCGTTCAAACCTTGAAGGGCTTTCCTTTGTGAAATGGAAGATATATGAGAGGATTTTTTTTATTTACAGATTTTTAAGAAATTAAAATTTTTTTTAAAAAATTAGTCCGGTCCGGATGGTTTTGGCGGATAGTTCTACACCTAAAATTAGGAATTGGACTGCAATACATCGGTTCCAATTTTATGGAATTGGGAACCAAACTGGTGTTCCATGGAACTACCTAAAACCGGCCAGTTCGGTCAGGTTCGAGCGGTTCCCGGTCCAAGCGGTTCCCGGTCCAAGCGGTTCCTTAGGCCAAATAACATTCTTTAGTCAAGCAAAAATGTTTATTTTATGTGAATTTATTCACAAATCACACATGTGATGCCAAGATGTTGATATATATTAGGGGTGATCGGTTTCGACGTGAATAGGTTATAGATCTGGAACCTAAAACCTACCCTGTTAGAATCAGTTCTCAGGTTTTAGAACCTGAAACCTACCATGTTTGTCCTGGAACCGAATCTAAAATATATCTTGTTTTTCCGGTTCGGTTCTAAGGTCTATCCGAGAACCGTGTTTCTTTTTTTGTTTCATTTTTTACAGCAAAATAATATAGCAACAAAGCGGTTCAATGTGAAAGATAAACAATAGCGAGCGAACAAAGGTGAGTCAGGAATGAGCAAGGGTAAGCTACAAGCGAGCGAGGAGGGGGGTGAGTTGCGAGTGAGAAAGAGAGAGAGAGAGAGAGTAGAGAAGTGCTTGAGTGAAGTTGAAGAGAACGGAAAAGAGAGAAAGATTGAGAAAAAGTTGTCAAGCGAAAAATTAGGGTTTTTAGGCTTTAAGGAACAGGTTCCAAATTCAATCCGGTCTGCCCGATTCTTAAGTGGTTCTTCACTTAAAATCGGGAACCGAACCGATTCCAACGGGAATCTGGAACTGAATCGGCTTTTAGGGCAGTCCGATTTGGTTCCCGGGTATAAACAATCTGATTACACAGTCGTAATATGTACGCCCTTCCAAATTAAAAAATTGCAACTACTTACATCTATTCCAAAAGTAAATCCTTATCGCGTGCATAATAACATTTTTTTTATTCATATTGCTCTTGAAAAATGATCTTCCGGGACAAAATAAAAATCGAACAAAGAGAGCTTACCCGAGTTGCGGATGGACTTGGTAAAACCTTACGAAACTTCTTCGAAAGACAACAATATGGGCATGGATTACTTGCCAAGTTGAAATGATGCTCCAAAAAAACAAAAAAAAACAATGTTTTTATTATGTTTTGTTAAAGTGATCATTATTGAGAAGAGGGAGCAGGATTAGGTGTGACAATTCGATGATGAGGACGTGGGTCCAGAGTGTTTAATGCATCAAGAAATTAAAATGAAGGAAAATCTGGCAAATGGGAATGCGGGACAACACACGTGTGAGCGATTTCAGGAGGAGCAGATCACCAGAAATGGCAGTACCTCATTTGATTCGCTCTCATTATATGCTTTAATTGCTATATTAATCAATCACGTATTTTTTTCCTTTTTGATCACCCGTACAGGTTTAGATAGATATGCCCAACTTGATGTGGTCAAGAAAATCGATCTGATGCGACCACTTGATCAAACAATACTAAAGTACGAAAAAATAATGAAATTAAGTGCAATGACTTATGTAATTAATTTAAGGTGATCGGTGAGGTTCATTCAAAGATAATGACACCGATCCGCCGGACAACAAAAAACAACACTAGTGTAGTATATCTTGAATATCAATCCTGGTGGGAGTAGTGGGAGTAGTTTATACTTTGCACTTTACATTGGTTAAAAATGGGTTATGACAAAAAGTGGAGAACTCATATTATAGGAGTTGAAATTAATCTAAAATCTACATTAGACAAAGTCTCATGTTATGCATTATAGATTAGATGAAGGTGTGATTCAATATTTAAACATTCTAACGCTCTTCCTCACGATTAAGCTGAACTTTGACCCAAATCTAAAGCGTGCAAATATGTAATTGGGGAGACAAATAACGCCCTGAAAAAATTTGAACTTTGGACATCTTGCTCTGATATCATATGATATTTTGTGGGATCATTGCCAGCTGTTTTAAAAACTTAAGCTGTTAGAATGAATGCATGATTTAATATTTAAATACTATAACATAACTGTTACAAATCTATAGTCGCTCTATGGAAAGTGTTCCATCTTCACGCAAGTGTGTTGATTGACCATTTATCAGATAAATTGAATTCTTAAATGAGTTTGTTGTATCTGTTGGGGGAAAGAATGTTCGGGGATGCTCCATTAGGTAAAAGTTGTATTCCTATCATTTGAATTGATTTGAAGAGCCACATCGCTAAGGAGGTTTCCCGATGGTGCAGAGAAGTCAATCCTTCAAAAATATGCATGTAGTCGACTTTTAAACTCATTAGAAAGCTATTTAATTGAATTCACATACATATAATCTAGTAAAATAGAATAAAGCGTCCACCATTAAGTTAGGCACAACATCACTTGCTAATTAGGTTATGTTGGCAAAGTTAAGTCCAACTTGTACCACCAACTTATGATCGACTTTTAGTTTGCCTTGGTAAAGACTGGTATGTTTCTTGGTCTAAAAAAAATGACACGTTTAGGATTCATTTGTTTCACGGAAAATAAATAATTTTAGATAATAATTTCCTAAAAATGATCCATTATGCCGCTTATAAAAATGGATGAATAAATAATATTTTCATCGTCTACAAAAATATTTAGACATAGATTGTTATCGAGAATGAAAATATTAATCATCGACTAATTATTTTAAGAGATATAAGTAATCATTTTTAAAGAAAATGTTTTCCAAATCATTTATTCTCTGCGAAACAAACGGAGCCATATTATCTTGTTACTAGTTAGTCACATGGTTTTGTGATGCGAATATACGTCATAAATACAAATTTTTTTTATGGGATTCCAACTTGGATCCTTAAAAAGATGGTTTATGAATTTGTTTAGTCACACACCCACTCCGATAGCTCGCGTTTTTATCTAGTCAATGAAGTTATTTGGATAGGTTTCCTCGTTATAATTGGACTGAACCGTTTTTCTAATCAACTTAAACTGGTAGGGAACGGGCCAACAATGATCACTTGTAAGCCGGTCCTTACACGCGTAAGAACGGTTGTGAATGGAAGCAAATTATACGGATAATGGCTGATCAGAAAAAAAGGAATAACAAGCAGGAAAAAATCGAGAGGGAGTGCTAGGATAAGAACCATTAACATATGCTCCGATACCAAGTTAAATTAACCCTTTTTCTTAATAATTTAAACTATTAGAGAATGTGCCAACATTGTATTATTGCAAATTACTCTACAGTTGCAAAAATGATACGAGTGATGTTACAAAGCATTGGCTCTTCATCTGATTTCAGCGTTTCATACACGACCTTATTTTCTGTACAAATGGCGAGAGGCATGTTTTTCACGGATTGAACACGGGTTCTTATTGGAAAAATATAATCTTGACAGCACGTTGTGTTGTTACTATGTTGATCTTCGAATTATTTTTGTGTGATCTCATTACTTTGTCAGACGTGATTTTGAATCGATTCTGTGTCTCCCATGTAGGACTCAGACTTATATCGAACGAGGAGTATTGACAAAAAAAAAAAAAAAAGATATGGTAGAGGTATGCTATGCTTTCGCTTTCTAACAACTCCAGCTAAGACTTTCTAACCTGCCAATACGGATAATCATAAGAAATGCTAAGACTCAGATGCCTAGCTCCACAAAACCCTAGTTGATCCAGCAAAAATAAAGTTAAATGGGCTGGATTGTCAAATGACTTCTCTCTTAACATGCTTCGCAATCAAAATTTGACTATTTCTTTCTCTTCTTTTTCATCATAAAACTCAACTTGAATGCCAATTTGACATTGGTTTTGCACAATTTCAAACCACATTGCCCAATTGCGCCG